TTTTTTTATTTCAGATATCTTGGAAGTGGCTGCAAATTTGTAGATCTGCATTACTCATATAGACTTGGGATTTCAACTATTGCTGAGATAATAAGAGAAGTTTGTCATTTTATATGGGTTTTACTGAAAGACATGTGTTTGCCACAACCTACAACAGAAAATTGGTTAAAAATCGCAAAAGATTTTCATTTACGAGCCAATTTTCCAAATTGTATAGGTGCCATAGATGGTAAACATATAAGAACTATAAAACCTTACAATAGTGGATCAGTGTGTTATAATTATAAATACTTCTTTTCTATCATTTTGCTTGCCATTTGTGACGCTGACTACAAGTTCGTATGCATAAATGTTGGTTCCTATGGAAAGGATAGCGATTCTACTATATTTACACATTCAACATTTTATCAAAAGCTAATGAATAATGATTTACAAGTTCCGGAACATCAGCCTATTTCATCCATAAATCCTATACCAGTACCGTTTGTCATTGTTGGTGACGAAGCATTTGGACAATCTGATAAAGTTATGCGACCATTTGGTGGATCAAATTTAACAACAAAGAAAAAAATATTTAATTATAGGCTTTCTCGTGCTCGACGCTACATAGAATGTTCATTCGGCATATTAGCAAATAAGTGGCAGATTTTTCACAGACCTATTAATGTGAATTTAGATTTATTAACAAGCATCACCAAAACATGTTGTGTTCTTCACAACTATGTTCGAGAAAGAGACGGATATAAATTTGAAGATACCCTGTGCATTCCTGGCTTAGAAGAAGTGCCAACAGGTATTCAAAGAGCTACGCGACGTGGCATGTCATACAGAGATATGTTTGCTGATTATTTTATGACTGAGGGTCAATTACCTTGGCAGATGAGCAGAATTCATTAAAAAATAAATGACATTAATAACTTACCTATGTTTTTTTTTCTTCGTCTAGTAATCCTTCACCTCCAAATAACTTCACTATTTTTTCCCACTGTTTTTTCTTCAAATCCCGATTCGAATATTCGTCACTTAGTAAGTCCCAAATAGCTTTTCGGGATTGTATTTCCATTATAAATTTCTCGGTATCGAAAGCCTGAGCCATTTTTGTGCGCGACGACCGGTCGTTACGACAGTTGCTCTCAGTGTGAATGCTTCCAATTGAAGCCGTGCTCCTATTGGTCGCCAGCGACCGGCAGTCGCTTGTGTGTCGCCACGTCACGGCGACTCGCCTAGTCGCTTGGGCGACCGACGACCAAGTGCGTAGACATCTATTTAAACTGTAGTAACTCACAGTCGCCAGCGACCGAGTCGCCGGCGACAAGTCGACAGTGCGTAATAGCTCTTATGGTATTTGAGATTTGTGGCATTGTTTACTAATCCGCTTAAATAAACACGAAAATCGTATGCATCAAGTGAGAGGCCCATCCAGCTTGGAACTTTGGACCTAAATTATCAATGAAGCAGAATTTTAATCTTTCGTTGGCGTCAATAAAAATAAATAAATAAAAATACTACTTCGCATAAACTACTTCGCGTGCAATTCCTTTGAAGTGTTCTTTGAAATTGCAAAATCTTTAAAAAGTTACTGGGTAACCTTCGTGGTCTAGTCCGTGATCCACCATCTCTGTGGTCCCAGGATCACTAACTTTTCTCTTATTGTCTGGGGTCTGGGTGTTTGTGATACCGTCGTTGTTTCCGATTTCCATAACACAAGTGCTTCAGCTACTTACTTTCGGATCGAAAGTTCGAAGTTGTTGACCCCAAAATGGTTTGCGATATTTTTAAGAGGTAGCTAGTAACGAAGAACTTTAGCACGGGAATTCGTTAAAAAAAAGGAATAGACAAAATGTTGCTCTGCTGCTGAAAACGGAACGATATCCTTTTCCGGTCCAATCTGTCAATGTCGTTATGTCAGCTGACCGTCATTTTTCCGTGCTTATAGTTTTTGTTTGACATTTGACAATTGAAATCGCATTCAAATAAAGATAAGATTAAATATAGCGATTCAAATTGCGTGTTGCTCTTGCTTCATATGGTCGTGCGCGCTTCATAAATTGGAAACTTATAAAACATGGCTCAAAAAAAAGTAGCAGTTGTTACCGGAGCGAATAAAGGTATTGGCTACGCCATAGTACGAGGACTGTGCAAGCGTTTTGATGGTATCGTTTACCTTACTTCACGTAACGAAGTATTAGGGAGAAAAGCATTGATTGCACTACAATCTGAAGGATTACCATCCAACCCCTTGTATCACCAGCTTGACATCACTAAACCAGAGAGCATAAAAAAATTCCGCGACCATTTGAAAAAGGAACACGGCGGTTTCGACTTGTTGATCAATAACGCCGCTATAGCATTTAAAAATAACGCAAAGGAATCAGCAGCTGTACAGGCTGAAGAAACTTTGTTTGTGAATTATTTTTCTGTTCTATCTACTTGCGAGATATTATTCCCTATATTGAGAGATGGGGCTAGAGTGGTCAATATTTCTAGCTCTGCTGGACATTTGTCGAATATACCAAGTCAAAAATTGCGGGATTTATTCCAAGATCCAGCTCTGACTATCCCGCAACTGTCTGAGCTGATGCAGTGTTACATAGAGGCAGCTAAGCAAGGGACTCAGATTCCGGAGTGGGGTAATTCTTCATATGTTGTGTCAAAAGTCGGTTTGACTGCTTTGACTAAAATTCAGCAGAGATTGGTTAACGATAGAAGTAAGTTTTTTTTATTTTTTTTTAACTTAATTTTTTTCTATTAATGGATTTACTTGTGTTAAGGTATTTTTCTGAACATCTGTATCACAAATGTCAATATGTAGTTCAGGTGCAGTTGTTCTGAAAACCAGTTAAGATAATTTTGTGAAAGCACTGATGTGTGTTGCTGAAGTGAAAGATGTATGTCAGGATTATAGCAAGTTGAAGGCAGTTGTCTCTGCCTACCCCGCTGTGAAAAAGTGTATGTATGTTTGTTCTGTGGCACACATTCTAGTATATAGAGTTAAATGTTGTAATTAAATAATGTTGTAATTAAATAACGTTATAATTTTTGGCCAGTAAAAATAATTTTACAATTATTTCTCAACTATTCTGAAAACTAAATATAAATAGCCACATTATCTACATTCTCTATCAGATTCTCTTTTACTACAAGTACTACTAATTCCATCATCCAATAGCTTATGATTTTGAAATTGTGTGGCATTATTTATATCTTTGGAGACTTATAGACATTAATTAATTGTGTAATGCATATAATTTATTTAACATTCATTCTGTGTGCTGTTCTTTCATAAAATGATTCTTCATTATCGTTTTTTTTCACATGAATAGGTTTCCCCATTATGCAGTGATTCAAATGCATGCACCCCAACCCCAAAGTGCAAAACACAAAAAAAATCGTTATATTATGCATTGGCTATAGATCCATCAGCTTGCAGGTAACAAATAATTAAAACTCAAAACATAAATAATACTTAGTAAAAATTAATTATGTGAAGCTACAAAATTCCGCCATTTTTTCATCCTAAAAAAATTTATAAAGCCTTATTCATAAATTGACATAGGGTATTCCTAAATTCCTCTTCATTTGTGTATGTAGACTGCATGTAAAATATTGGTATAGTAACACTTACCTATTTATAAATGTTTTATATTATAATAATAATAATAAATTTTCTTTATTTCGGACTAAGTCCATAAGGGTTAGTAACAAAACACTTAAAAATAGGGTTAGTATTACAAATAGCTTATTTTACAATTTATTATTATAGGCCACAAAACCAATATGCATCCTAGACCAGTGATCTAGAAAGCAACCCTGTACATGGTTTGCAATTATACTCAGGAGGCTGTTATCGCCGCCCCGAATCCTGCGCAACAAAGAAGCCGCCCTTTTTCGCATGATAGCTGAAAAGCCATCTAAGCGAGTCACGGCGAACATTCCCGATGCACTACAAAATCGAGGCAGCTTCAACAGCATCCTGAATAAATTATATATTATTGCAATGTTTTCGACTAAAGGACTTTGAATCCAGCTCGTGCAATAATTTAATAAAGTCATCAGAAACTGAGTCTATTGGCATTAAAAAAAATTAGTCATAATTTATTCATTTTGTGTGAAAAAAAATATTTCATGAAATTTGACCAACTTCTACCGTCCCGACATTTTCGTCTCATACAATGAAATGTATGTAGATTTAAAAAAAAAAAAAATATCAATTTTATTCATTTTTATGGGTAACACTCGCTTGACCAAAAAATGTACTATGCCAAAATTGTTTTAACAAAAAAAGATTCAATGATTCATAAGATAGCTTCCTTGTATCTTCTATGGATTCGGATTTCCCCATACTGTCCGATTAAAGAAAACTATATTATTGCTTACAATTAGGTACAATAGTTTCTGTACTTCAATAGTTTCATATATTTATAAATTGCCTAAATATCTACAGCAATGACTGCCTGTGTTTTTACCTTGGACCAATAACTGAAGAGGATTCTAATCGCTATGCAAGACAGTGTAGATAGTAGTCTACCATTTATCAAAGCTCCTCTAATTTCTAGTGATAACAAACAAATCAACTAGACAGCACTTATTGCACAGATTGTTATGGATAGTGCCAGCTATTCTTTTATTTTGCTTAGGAACAGCATCATCCATCTATATTAGGAAGCGTTAAATTGTAAATTAGTTTGTAGCACACAAAGCCATCTATTGACACTCATATTTGTCAAAGTTTAGAAAATAATTGTAGGTCTATATTTGAATAATATTACAAACAAAGAAAACTGACTTTTTATACTTCACTTCATGTTATACTTCATGTGTTAGGAATTAACTGATATCCACGGCCATTTTTATTTTACATATTATGTTAGAGGAGTTGCAACACTCGTTGAAAGCCAATGCTGCCCGGGCTCGAGCAGTTGGAGTCCCGCCACAATGCGAATTTTAATTAATTTGTGGTGAGAGTACCAACCTTCATGAAGGAGGACTTTTGACCGAAGGGTATCATGTTCCGGTGTTTCCGATAACGGATACCGGACACCCACGTTGCATCACACGTCGCGGTCCATACGTGTAAATAAATAATAATAATAATAAATAACTAGTCTTATTATATTATTATGTATGTTAGTCTATAAGGTGTGTATTTATGGGAGTTTATAACCTGATCATAAATAAATTTTAAACTACTTCCATTGATCAGCGCCATCTTGATGTAAGACGGAATTTTAATGGAGCGGTCCTCTCGAATTATTGGTCCATGGTTCCATCTATTCATGGTTTTTATCTGGTGTTGAGTAATTGTTCTAAAGATTTTAAATGGTTTAAATTTTTAAAATATTTTTCATTATAAAGCAAAATGTTCACAAAAAGACAAATTAGAATAATCTTTAGATTTTTTTTCTATATTATAGCCAGATGTTTTGAGCTCAAGGAAGAACAGATAGTCTTATAAATAAGAATGTTGAAGTCCACTTTTGTTTATTTGCTTTACATGTTTTAACAATCATTACGCTAAATTCAATATTCAAGAAACAAATGCGCCGAAATATATTATGTATAAATATTAAGGCGAAACATTAGTGTCTTTAATAAACACTTACAAAATACCATGTCGTTCGTGACTATCTGTGCTTTATCCAATAAACAAGTCACTTTAACTGATAACAAATAATCTGTATGTACACACTCATATTTAGTACAGCAAAAAATTGAAAATGCAAATAGTAATGTTATATATTTAAACAAACTCCTACTACAAACCGGATTTTTCCCCTAATTTTCATCATTAAGGTACCATCGAGATACCACCACTGCGGTACCTCCTGTCCAACAAAAAAAGTATCAACCAAATCGGTTCACAAACGGCGTAATCGCGTAATATAACTACCCTAATTGAATTTAAGTCGGTTAAAAATCTGAAATATGACAAGTCTATGAAATATAAAATGAAATATAAAAGCACTATGAAAAATTTTACCTGTAACTTTAACTGCAGTTCGTCGCTCTACTTTATCAAACTCGTATCTTAAAACACAAACTGAAATGCAAAATATGCATTGTAATCATTGACTTACAAATAAATGGACGGCGGGTCTAATACAAAAACCACGAAAAAAATGTCCCAAGTCAACCTATTTAAACGTAGTGACTTGTCAAGGAATATGAAAAGGCTAAAACGTTGAATTTAAATTGTAATGTCATCGCAGTACTGTCTAATTTTGCTTGCTTCGCTGTCAGTCGAACAAACGAGGACTAAAGCGTGAATGACGCTCTGTATACGATTTTAACACCCTATAAGTTCGGACACTTTTTAGCGCGGACCCGACGTCCATATAATTGTAAGTTAATGATTGTAATATACAAATATGCAAGCTGATTTTACTTATTCTTAAAGTAATGCAACCAAATTAACACCCTTGATATGAAATTTAAAATAAATAGAAAAATTTGCCATGTTCTGAATAGTCACTATTTATAAGATAAGTGGTTCAGAAAGTAAGGCGTCGATTTTTCCTTTATCAAGGGAACCCAACATGCTATATAAACAGGCGGAGAGAGATTTGAAGTTGAAGGCAATTATAACTCTACTAGAGCGGCGTAGTTGCATTTTGTGACAAAGCTTTATAGATAAAGAAACAAAAAACTTTAACTACAACTTTGTATTCCAGATATAAAAGTAAATGCAGTCCATCCTGGATGGGTTGACACCGACATGTCCTCGCATCAAGGGCCGCTTACCATTGACGAAGGAGCTGCAGCTCCCCTGTATTTGGCGTTGGACGCTCCTGACTCTGTGAGGGGGGAATATGTATGGCATAATAAAAAGATAGTCAGTTGGGATGGCACGAAACCTCAAGAGTAACTGTAATGTGTTAAAACTTACGATTTGATGTACAGTCTCCTGCATTAATACGTACCACGCGGCGAGATTTCAATCAAGTAATCTCTGAACATTTTGAATCGTTATAATACTCTTACACTCATTGACTTACAAATAAATGGACGACGGGTCTAATACAAAAACCACGAAAAAAATGTCCCAAGTCAACCTATTCGAAATTTAAATTGTAATGTCATCGCAGTATCGCGCTGTCCGTAGAACAAATGAAGACTAAAGCGGAGTGTCGCGCTCTGTATACGATTTTAGCGCCTTACAAGTGCGGACACTTTTTAGCGCGGACCCGACGTCCATATAATTGTAAGTCAATGCTTACACTTTAAACATTTGCCAATGTGGGGTAATGTTTTAGTCATTCCTTCATTCCACCAAAGAATAACGTTTCTTCCATTTAAAATTCAAAATGTATCTTTAACGCCATGGCAAGAACCTAAAATAGATTGCTTCTATATAAATAATAATTATGACCATATGTCTATTTTTTTAATAATACTAAGTGACAGCACGAATTTGCCTTACGGATGAGAGTGGCCGAATTCAATCAATGTTACGATTGCAAATGTAATTTGCTTATCTAAGAAATAAGACGCCTACATTTTAATTAAGGCGTAAACACATGCCTGGTCTAACTCAACACGAGTTTAGTATTAATTGTCCGAATAATGAAATGGTGGAAATTTTTCATAATATTTTACAAAAATACTTGGCATTTTTCAGAAAAAATATTTGATTAGGAGGGAGCAGAGGAAAAATTCCTAATCTTCGATTTTAGAGGGGTATATCCACTTTAAAGTTAAAAATAAAATATTGTATGAGTAACTACACGATATATTCAAGCATAGACATTAATCAGAAACATAAAACAATAAAGTTTCCCCGATAGATAAAAATCACGAAATGACCTCTAATTTTCAAATTTTTTTGGATTTATCCTCGAAATGCTACAGGTTAATAGGACAAAAATTAGATAATTAATTATATTTATGCATGATCGACAACTGTCACTACGGATTTTTTTTAATCCCTTTAGTTTTAAAGCTATTCCGCTAAAACGAATTTGGTACTTTTAATGCGCAAAATTCAACATCTCCTGTCGCATATCACGCGAACTTCAGGCATATATTTGTTTCACAAATTTGGGCGGAACCAACGTCAAAACTTTTTCGGCATGCTCCCTCTTAATATAATAAAAGAAATACGTTAATCAAATATTTATTATTATACACATGGTCTGAAAAAAGTTGGGTACGTGGTACCGGTGAAGTGTTTCTCATAATAACGCACAACGTCATGTGACCTTGTATAATGTAACCCTTACATACAAGGTGGGTTTTTTTCCTTGATCCTATACTATACAAGATCACATGACGTTATGCGTTATTAGAAACACTTCACTGATACCATATACCCAATTTTTTTCAGACCTCGTATGTGTTACAACCTTTGTACATATTGCACAATATTTCGACATCACATATTGCGCAATATTTCGACATTACATATTGCGCAATATTTCGACATACATAATGTAACAACAGATGTGTTGCTAGTTCAGGTATTTAAACAGCGTTGCCAATTGTTCAAAATCCCCAAAAATCACGGTTAAAATCCCCAAATTTGGGGAGAGTAAAATTCCCCACAACTCGAATTTTCATTATTTATTACAAATACATCGCTTAAAAATATAATAAAGAATTAAGAAACTCAAAATGTAACCATAACGTTTGCTGTGAATGTAAACAGAATGTAAAATATAAAACTAATTATTATAATCTCAGTACAGAGTACTAAAAACACCGACCTCAAAAGTACGTGAGAATTACATCTATTTGCCAAATTGTATTGAAATCGGTTACTGGAATTATAATAATGAATCTTCATGCGTGAACAGCCACTCGTAGAGGTGGATGATTTTCTTCAAAATTAAATGGGACCACTATGGAGGTTCCCTTTTTCCAACAAAAACAGAATCATGATAATCGTTTCACAAGTACCGGAGTTATCGCGTAACAAACATACGAAAAAAAAACATACAGTCCAATTGACTTCCTCCTATTTTTGAAGTCTATTAAAAATAAGATGACCTTAAATCGTTTGTTTATTTTAATTAGATTCAACATTAATCAGTCTTTGAAAAAAAAATCATTTTTCTTTGCCTTACAAAATTATATAAACTGATTATTTGTTGTGCATTTGGTGACACTAAGTTAATGTTAGAAATATTCAGTGAGTTTCGACCTATATTTAATACTTAAAGTTGACGAGTGGTTAGTTGTGGTGTGGAAGTACCAACTGCTCGGCTCTGTTTATCAATAGCTGATCTCGTTTTGCTTCAAACCGGGGACCAGCCTAAGAGGGATAAAGAATCGCGAACTCGACACGTACCGACTGGTAATTTTACAATTCAAAATCAAGTGCTCTGATAATAATTATATTTAAGCTGCTTGTTAATAATGCGAGGGATGTGCGATGTTGAAAAATACATCGATATAGTTCATCACAGTGTTTCTAACAGTAACGATCAAACTAGCGATGCATCAGCAAATGATAGATTAAACAAAATGATAAAATGTTAGAATCCCCACAAAATCCCCAATCTAGTTGAAATTCCGCGCAATTTGGGGAATTTCCCACAAATTGGCAACGCTGTATTTAAAGTAAATTTCATATGATTTTTGATAGCCTTATAACATAAAGTCAATGCCTTATAAGCTTATCTCTGATCTATTATCTACCAGAGAGAAAGGTAGAATTTTGTTATTTTGGCCTCTTTATGCCAGTTAGTTACAGTAACTGAAAACTACTGCTCGTTATACAGATCCCTGCTTTAGATAATGAGACTTGTGCATAAAGCCTTTTCTCAGGGTGCCCCACGGCTTTGGCACACGGAGGGAAAGTACCATAGAAAAGTTTACTGAAAGAAGACTTTATTTTAATAACAATTCGAACTGAACCGGGAATCGAACCCGCCAAATGGTATAAAACACCTGTAATTTTACTATACTGTTCGAAAACCTCAATCATAGGGACTGTTTTCTTCTAAATAACATTTCATCTGCAATAAAAGAAAGACCATTAAATTTAACATTTGAGATTCGCATTGATCGAGCATGTATGTTCTTCCTGTCTTTACTTATTTACAACCGGGTGTAATGGGTGCATCGTGATATTATCATTGAGATTGTTGGCAACTGTTTGAATATTTTGGTAAACATTTGAAGCGAACTTAGATTTTAATCATGGATTTAAATAATTGTATTTATGACTATAATAAATATCTATTTTTGTAATTAAAAGTTTTTTTCACATACCCCCCCGACTGGCATGTTACGAGGTTGGCATGGTAGGTCACGATTTATTACAGAGCATAGTGACCAAAAGCGGTCTCTACCGCCTCTCAGTGGGCGCTGAAGAATTGACTCTCTATACCAAGAGATAGATAACATGACATATTTTTGTCATAAAAATAAATCTTAGAGGGTGTAATAGGGGATTTTTTCGTACGGAGAACCAGTAAAAACCATGATAATTAGTATAAGATGTCTCAGGCTCAATTTATATTGCGGCGGAACGTATTGTACATAGCATAATAAACTTTATGGTCAACGGTGTAACGTACAAACTAGATACGAGCCAATAATCACGTCGCGCGTCTTCCGAAGTGGCTTAAAGGCAGAAGCAGTGTAACGTCATACGTCAACGAAATACTACCAGCTGCGGTCGCGAGAAAGCTCGCGAACAGCATTTTTATTTTGAAATTTTTTTTATTCTAGTTCAGTGTACATACTTATTAAATACGACGTCACGATAGGCGCATAAGAACATACTAGTCTTCGTAGGAGCATAAGGAAACGTCCGTAAATTGAGCCTTATTATAAGACAATAGTAAAGACGAAGTCGCGGGCACCGATTAGTACTACTTTAAAGGCTATAAATAATGTTCAATAATGGAAATTAAGTTTATTTATTTCTCCTTGCATAAGAGGCACTTATTTACTCAATACGTAATATGAAAATATACTAAATTAGTAACAAACGTTATTAATATTATTTCTAAAATTTTCCTTAAAACTAATGGACGAATTTTTTAAAGCCCATTTTTGTTGGAAGTCTGATACATTTTTTTCGTCAATTGTTGAAGTTATAATTTTAATACAATTGTAAACATTCCAGTATGTAATGCATGTAAGAACTCGATTCTTGTCGCTTTACATTCGATTACTGGCCCTCGTTCTATCTTTTTCTTCTACGGTGCCAATAATGTAAACAACGGAATAACAAACCAGTGTAAGTGTGAATTGGGTGATCCCTTGTAGCCAGTTATGACATATCCACCATAACCAACCTTTGTTGTGCGTCTAAGCTCTCCTAAGACAATCGTGTGCTTCACTACGTAAAATAATAGCAATAACAAAAATGAAGGCGTTTCATATCATCGGTAGGTGTTATTTTCACTAAATTAAACATATAACTGTTTTCTAAATACTTGATAATAATATATTTGTGCCATTACCAGAAATAAAAAACACCTACATTGCCTTCTTTTATGATCCGATACACCGAGACCAAGAATGTTCCACATATTTTTTTGCTACTCGAATATTGCTAAAAAATGTCCATATATTTGTGAAGATATCTAGATGATTCCTAACTTTATATCAGTAACACAAAAACTTTTGAATAATTGTGCCATCTAGTGTTGAGTAACGAAACTCCTAAGTCAACTGAAGAGAAAAGAAAAGACTTAGGAGTTCCGTTAATTAACACTAGATGGCACAACTATTAAATAGTTCACATGATCAGTTTCGATTATTCGATTTATGGTTCGGGACTACAGAGCCTAGTGCAGAAATAAATAATGAAGACCAAGTGCGTGTAGTTAGAAAACCTCCCACGGCTTGAAGATGTGGCAACATGTTCTAGCAGTGCGAGTTTTTCTACCCGCATCTTCAGTTCCTTCCGAGACAATGGACGTTGCAATACGTCCGAAAAGTCGAGGTAATTAAAATATGTTTTCTATATGATTACGTCCCAAACTAAAATAATGTGTGAAAATCATTGACTTACAATTATATGGACGTCGGGTCCGCGCTAAAAAGT